TGTTCCATCTGGCGAGGTCCATGTGTATAGTCGTCTGTTATGCTGTCTAAAGAAGGTATTTGAAATAAACAAATCATTTGTCTTGCATTAATCTATCATTCGTTCTCCAGCATCGTTTCTATCACCAAGTCCAAATTTTCCAACTACTGGACCCTCCTCTTTGCTCCCTACTTTTGCATTCCAATCATCAGTAATGATCAATACATCTTTCTTGCATGTTTGATCTATTTCAGATTGAAGAAGTTGTTAGAATTCTTCTATTTCATCTTCACTGGCTTTAGTGGTTGGTGCATAAATACCACTTGTGGTATTTCTGTTAAAACAGTACTAAGAAACTAACACACACTATACACATTCTTCTGCACACTGCTTTTTTTCATTGAATATCTAGGATCATTTTCATATCATACAGGGCTTCTTCTGTAGTATTACAATGTGTGAATATAATAGAGTTTAGCCATTCTCTTTTTGTAATCAATATATATGGTAGTGGTTATGTGCTGTGGAGTCAGTTCCAACTCATAGCGACCCGTACAGGGTTTCCGTGGCTATAAGTCTTTATGGGAGCAGAAAGCCTCATCTTTCTCCTGCAAAATAGCTGGTGGTTTCAAACTGCTGATTCATAACTACTACGCTACCAGAGCGCCTTGATAATAAAAACAACACTATAGCAAATAATCTAGTACCTATCTCATTTCATATATGTGCAGGTGTATCTGTAGGATGAATTCTCAGAAGCATATTTGTCAGGTAAAAGGATAAATCATTAGTATATTTTATGCAAATAAAGTACATGTTATTTTTATATAACAAAAATGTGCATACTTTTCATATGATACAGCCCTGGACATTTTTTATAAGTTCCATTTCAATTTTTTTTTTTCTATCCATTGGATTTAATGTTAAGTCTTCATCTTAGTGCCTGTTGATACTTGGTTTCCAGCAGCAGACTTGCCAATGTACCTTCACATTTCTAGAGCATGCCCTCTCTGGCAGGAATTCTCCCCTGCTCTGCAAACCACTTTCTTTAATGTAGAAAGAAATCACTTTTTCTATCACCATGGCAGCTGATCCTAGTCCAGAATGTACACTGTCTGGCAAGGCCAGCACACCATAACCTCATGCATTCTGCCCCACCTTTGGATGACTGACCATCACACTCAGGCAATTTGAATCTCCCACCTATATGGTGGGCACTGCAG